CCCCCCCCCCCTCCCCAGCCTCTGACAAACAGAGGCCAGAGACACCATTTCTATCCCCTGGCTAATAGCCTTTTATGGACCTAACCTCCATGAGATTATCTAGCTTCTCTTTAAACTCTGTTATAGTCCTAGCCTTCACAGCCTCCTCTGGCAAGGAGTTCCACAGACTGATTACACACTGTGTGAAGAAGAACTTTCTTTTATTAGTTTTAAACTTGCTACCCATTAACTTCATTTGGTGTCCTCTAGTTCTTCTATTATGGGAACTAATACATAACTTGTCTTTATTCGCCCTCTCCACACCACTCATGATTTTATATACCTCTATCATATCCCCCCTCAGTCTCCTCTTTTCTAAACGGAAGAGTCCCAGTTGTTTTAACCTCTCTTCATATGGGACCCGTTCCAAACCCCTAGTCATTTTAGTTGCCCTTTTCTGAACCCTTTCCAAGGCCAAAATATCTTTTTCGAGGTGAGAAGACCACATCTGTACACAGTATTCAAGATGTGGGCATATCATAGTTTTATACAGGGGCAGTAAGATATTCTGGGTCTTATTTTCTATCCCTTTCTTAATAATTCCTAGCATCCTATTTGCCTTTTTGACCGCCGCTGCACTCTGTGTGGAAGTTTTCAGAGAACTATCCACGATAACTACAAGATCTCTTTCCTGATTTGTCGTAGCCAAATTAGCCCCCCATCATACTGTACGTATAATTGGGGTTATTTTTCCCAATGTGCATTACTTTACACTTATCCACATTAAATTTCATTTGCCATTTTGTTGCCCAATCACTCAGTTTGGTGAGATCTTTTTGGAGTCCCTCACAGTTTGTTTCTGTCTTGACTATCCTAAACAGTTTGGTATCATCTGCAAACTTTACCACTTCACTGCTTACCCCTTTCTCCCGATCAATTATGAATAAGTTGAACAGGATTGATCCCAAGATTGACCCTTGGGGGACACCACTAGTTACCCCTCTCCATTCTGAAGATTTACCATTTATTCCTACCCTTTGTTTCCTGTCTTTTAACCAGTTCTCAATCCATTAAAGGATCTTCCCTTTTATCCCATGGCCATGTAATTTACACAAGAGCCTTTGGTGAGGAACCTTGTCAAAGGCTTTCTGAAAATCTAAGTATACTATATCTACAGGATCCCCCTTGTCTGCATGTTTGTTAACTCCTTCAAAGAACTCTAATAGATTAGTAAGAAATGATTTCCCTTTACAGAAACCATGTTGACTTTTGTCCAACAAATTACGTTCTTCTACGTGCCTCACAATTTTATTCAAGGCTAAGGTCACTGGTGTTACCCTTTGCAGCCCAGCTAGTACCCAATATATCATAGATCAGACCAAAGCTCCAGGGATGGAGCACAGAGTCAAGGCAGGCTTTCTGGTGCCCTGATTTAAAGAGACAGGCAGGGAGAAATATAAAACTTTGGTACATCACACCTCAAGCTCTGGACTTGTTGCTTGGCTCGTGGGAAATGTCATTAATCTGGTTTTACAGCATGTGTCATTTGGATTCCAGAAGTGCAAATCAAGGAGGGGTGAGATTTCACGTATTTCAACCCAGAAGTAGCTGCATTTTAGTAGTGAGTGAAGCAATCCCTGGGGTGCAGCATTGACATCAGTTTCAGACCTATCACTTCAATTGGACAGGTCGGGTGTGTGAAGTTAAGCACACGTGTAACTCTTCAGGGTCAGAGGGGCTCCATGCAGAGCTCAGAACAGGCTCTGCTTCAGTAAAGAACTGAAATGTGCTGATAGCTCTCCTTGTTCTGCAAATCATGTAAAAGTATGCTTCACTTCAAGCATACACATAAGTCCTATAGAGGGACACTGCAAGCTGATGAATGTGTTCAAGTGATGTGCTGAATCAGGACCTAAGCTTCCACCGTATTTCTGGCTCACCTAGCACAAATGGTGCTACAAAACAGAGCCATCACATCCTGCCACAATGAATATTTGGTACAGTATTGGCTGTGCTGCAAAGTTCCTCTTCTGCCATCGAAAGCTTTAAGAACCCCTCTTTTCAATTCCTCCCTTAAATGTCTGGTTTTTCTCATTGCTTCCAGGATGACAATATTATGAGGTCCTTACAGCTCTTTGAGAATGTGATGTAACCACATCTGAGAGGCAGCACAGGAACCAGAGACTTTGTATGGAATGAAAATCTTCTTTCTGGCCGAAAGCTTTTTACAGCTCCGCTATGCTGCGTGAACAAGGATTGTGTAAGACATCTCCTACCGAGCTGCGTTCCCGAATGCAACAAACTCCCATCTCTCCTCCCCAAGAGACACCGACTGGAAGTTATTTCATTTTGGAAGCATGCTAATAGTTTCATACAGCCTGGTGAGCAAGCCCTGCTGCTTGAAGTTTAATGAATAATATGCTACCTTCTCTTTGCTCGCCACAAGTTCTGCTGCTTTTTCATCTAGCAAACTTGATCACATATGGTAGCACCATGTCCGTAGCTTGCTAAGCCCATCTATTGTGAGTGGAAACTCAGCCCATTCCATCATAAAACAATATGTTGTATAAATGTCGTCTTTATTTTGCTTGGGCGGAAGCCTACTCTACCAGGACGTCTCTGTTTAGATTTTTAAAACTAACACCCGATTTATTTAGTATGTTAAATGGAGTGTCCAGTTCATTGAAAAACCATATATCCCACTTTCCTCAACATTCCTGAGTTGTCTCTCACATACACTGGTGTCACTCCATTCAGATTCATGGAGTTGCTTCTAAAATATACCAGTCAGCATGTCTAGACTACATCCCTTTTTCGAAAGAGGGATGTAAATTAGACAGATCGAAATTGCAAATGAAGCCTGGATTTGAATTTCCCACACTTCGTTTCCATAATGGCGGCCACGCGTTCTTTCGAAAATGAGCATTTTGAAAGTGAAACCGCTGTCTAGATGCGATTCTTTTGAAAAAAATCCCCTTTTTCAAAAGATCCCTCATTTTTTGAGGAGTACAAGAACTTTCGAAAAAGGTTTTTTTTTTTTTTTTTTTTTTTCAAAAGAACCGCGTCTAGATAGCGGTTTCACTTTTGAAAGACCCATTTTCAAAAGAATATGCGGACGCCATTATGCAAATGAGGCACAGGAAATTCAAATCCCGGCTTCATTTGCAATTTCGATCTGTCTAATTTACATCCATCTTTCGAAAGAGGGATGTAGTTTAGACATGCCCAGAGGAGCATCAAGCCAGTATATGTCACAGAGGAACAGAAAACACAATTTCTGCACTTCAGAGTGAATCCCATTGAATAACATTGAGTTCCTTTAAGACAATATGATTTCAACGGACTAAGGGCATGCCCCAGAGTTCCCAACCACAAAGAGGGCCTCGGGATACATCTCTCACCAGAACTGCTGCCGTCGACTGTGGTCCTGTCCATACAATTTAGAACACCCATAATAAATGCATCATTTTACTTTGTTTTAAAGCAAGGTAGTTCCCAATATTTGGATTCATTTGATCTTTTAAAATTCTCTTTTGAGACCCCCGTGAGATTAGGGAAATATGTTTGGCCAAATGTAGAGAGGCAGAATAGATCCTCGTACTCAACAGGCCAGAATTGGGCCCAGATCAAGTATCTGTCTCCACACAGGTTCAGTCAGGAAGGCTGACTGAATTTGTGGAGCAGAAAACAGTTGTGACAGACAGGCAGCTAACAGCAGAGGGAGCAAGAAGGAAAAAGAGAACAACTTCATGTAGTCCAGGGTTGCCATAGGCCTCACTTACAGGAAACACCTCTATTTTTATTATAGTAGAGACTCTATTACGAATATACTGTCAACACTGAAAATATATTTTAAATATTAGGTTAGTGGAAACTTTTTATAGTATGCAAAATATATGGAACAGCTTGTTTCTATAGCCCTATATTTTATAAAGCATATAGATCTGCAAACATATTGCTGGTGTAGCCGTAGGTCCGAGTCATACCTGTGTGAGACTGTGTTTGCATCACCACAGAGGAAGCCCCTGTACCACATCCTGGTATATGCTTACACAGGTGCTTAGTTCTACTCATGTGAGTAGCCCTATTGAAATCAGCAGGGCTACTCAAGTGAGGAAAGTTTTAGTGCAGGCAGAACTGGAGCCTTCCTCTGCTTTTCTGGCTACCTCACACCGAATGTCACCAAAGAGTTTATTCCTAGGAAAGGTGTAGGCCATGGCAACATCCAGCAGTGTGCTGTGCTTTGCAAAGGGGAGAGATGCTGTGAGGATACTGTAGTCCACAGGTACTTCTTCTGTTGTTATATATATCCCTTGGTTTCTGTTATTTCTGCTCCAATTCATCTGATGAAGTGGGGTTTGCCCACAAAAGCTCATGATTTGGTTAGTCTCTAAGGATGCGTCTGCACTGTGGCACTAACTCAAAATAAGCTACACAAATTGCGTACCTTATTTTGAGCTTACTTTGAAATAGTCTATTTTGAAATTTTGCACTGTGGGAATAGAGCGCTATTCTGACAAGTCCCTTAATCTTCATGGAACAAGGTTTACCAGGACGTCGGAATAGTGCGCCTGTTATTTCAATTACATTTTGAAAGAACGGGCGCGCTGTTAAGACGTGGAAAACACCTTCAGCTCAGCCTCATCCACTGTGTCTCACTAATACCCTGGAACCAACACAGCTACAACACTATATACACAATCAGATTATTTATGGGAGTTGTCTGTTCCATACCCCCAAAGTGTTTGTGGAAGAAACGGGAGGTGTTGCAAGGTAGAACCCGCCAACTCACAGAGGGGTGCATGTTAGGCACTGTCTCATCATCTTAGACCAATAGGTTTGCTAGCCACCCACAGCTTCAGACCGTTGTAAGCACGGTACCTAAGGCTACACCAGAGTACTTAGGGCCACATTATCTGATTGGGTAACACCATTGAATTCAGTAGAATTCCACTAGGGATGAGTTTGGCCCCTGGTGTTTTCTCAGTGTAGACTCTCAGCACTGTTGTAGTGACGATGTGGGTTACCTTGTTAGCTGGAGACAAAGCTGAAGTGTATAGGTTTGTCAATCCACAGAGGGTATCACTGCTGTACTAGGGGGTACTATGTCCAGCCTGTTCGAGCAGCTATAAGCACCTTCTGTTGAGTTTGCCCTCAATCCAGCAACACGCACAACTTTAAGCATCTAAGCATATGAGAAGTCCCATGGACTTCAAGTGGCCTCAGATGTGATTGTGTATTGCTGAATTGAGACCTGTGTTAGCGACAGTGCTGCTTTAGCTTCTCTTTTGGGGAGCCAAAGATCTGGGGTTTTGCTATGGCCATTGACCGTGAACTGTAGGATGGCCATATGATGTCAGGACCACAATTA